TGGGGGCGTCTTCCTTGGACTGTGACCCCCAGGAACCCCCCAGAGAGAGCAGCGGTCTTGTTTGCACACGCGCGCGCTAGCGCAAGCCCGCCCGCACATGCGCGAGCGCTGACACGCACTGGCATCAAGCGCCGGCCCAAGTCCTTCTCCAGCACCCACTTGTCCGCGACCCTCAGAAGCTCTTCGTAGGGGCCGACTTGGAGAAGCTGTGGGCCGAGCTCGTTGCGAGTTTGGCCTCGAACACATGAATTAGACATTTTAGACCAAAGAGAGTGTAGCAGAGGGAAGAAGGGGGCGACTACGCCGAGAACACGCGATGCGGCCAACGGTGAGGAGCCTGTCAAGTGGTCCTTCACCACAGCGTACATGAGCGGCTCAAGCAAGACCGCGTTCTTCTCCTCCTGGATCCTGTCCTCTCGAAGGAGAAGGTACAGCACGAGAGCAAGCTCACAGCCACCACGACTTGATCAGTGCAGCCGCGGATCATACGGCTGCGGGACAAACATGCCCTTTGTCGTCACCAGCCTTTTCATCCCGGAGGTCTTGTTCCTCAGACAGCACTGCATCATCACACATCCACAGACATCCACTTGGGCTTTGTTTGTACCACGCTCGGCATAAGCTCAAATCAGCTTAGCGGTGTGATCTACTGGGCTTGCGGGTCGACGGGAGTTTAACAACATGTTAAAATGTCATGTATTTATTGACAACAGCGGCAAGTGTCTCAACAAGGACCGCGTTGGTCTGGCCAATCACAATGCTTGTCTCCACGCCTGAGGGCCACTCCTGTCAAAGTTGGTGGTGTGGCGCTAAGCTGGCCGCAGCAAGCCTGCATGCTGCCTGCTTTGCGATATGACGCCCTAGGACACCCTACCTCTCTTGGCTCTGGCACCAAGATTTGCGGACCACCTTCCTTGGCACTCTTTGGACAAATCAGGTCTGCGGTATCAACCCACAAATTCGACAGAAGGCACCTACAGCCAATAAGCATGACTAGGGAGAGGCTGATCGCGACAAACTGTCTGGCACGGGCTCATGATATAGCATGGCTGGGTGATGATTAAATTCGGCGGAAAAGTTGTGATTCCAGAAGAAGCACCAGGATGTGCAAAGTATTTGTAGTTCTATTTTTGGGGGATGGTAGACGATCCTGGGTGATATGTGAAACCCTTGTGAAGTTTGTGATTGTGATAGAATGGGGGTTTCTTTCAGACAGAAACTGTGAACATTCTGCGAACTATGTCATGTGTGTCCTGTTTGCAGGCCTGCTTTTTTACCTCCTGGCAACCCTCCATCTTGCGTAAATATTGGAATTGCAAAGTGTCTGGCTAATTGTATTCATTCAGTGAATTTCCCCTTGAACAAGCGTCAACACCCATTAGCGTAACTCAATCCAGGCAGAGTTGCGACAGTCTCCTCTGCACCACCTCACCTTCCCCTGCCACCCCGCACCAGCTGTGACGCTGTCTGGCCCGCCCCGCCTCCTACTCCCTGCCCCCGCTGGCCTGCCGGAAGAAATCTCTTTTCAAGGGCTCTGACTCGAAAGAATGATTCCGCACCCAGCAGAATGACTCCATCAGAGTAGCCTCAAACATGAGAGAAGATGCCAAAAAGCCTTCTGGCCACAGAAGGCTCCGCCAGACCTACACAGCCACAGAACAGCGATTCCGAGTGGAATGAGAATCAATAAAGACGCGCCACACGAAAGAGCCTCAGAAAAGCACAGTACTGTATACTTGGCAGACGGTGACTGTTGCGTTCCTGGGCGGAGTAGCTAAACTGATATTAAATATGTTTGTTGCTCGGAACTCGGAAACTACGTATTTGCTGTTATGTGAGACGTGTTGTGCACATCCCTTTACCAGCCCGAAAAGTTTTTTGTAGCAGATGTGGCGGGGGGGGGGAGGTCTGGACAGCACCGACATGAACTAAAAACATCGGATTCTGAGCCAGAGATTCTACACGAATTCACACATATTGCACAGATTCCAACAACAGATTGCAGGCCATGTTCCGGAAAACTGGGATTTACACTTCATTCAGAGGTTGCAAGGAATCAGGAATATCACATTCATTATCAACATCAGCAGCTCACCAGCAGTACCTGGCAAACGAGCTGCAACACGCTCGAGACCCGTGAGCCGGTCAATGAGACGTACATACTCCATCTTCTGCAAGACGATCTTCTCCTGCCCCGCTTCTCAGCATGGTTGTGGCTGATGGGTTCGCCATGGGCTGAAGGCTGTAAATTGATGTAAATGGCATGTTGAGAAGGCAGTCCTTGATCTCAACCAGGCTTTCCCAGGCGTCCATGAACACCTCTCAAGATGCTGTGGCTGTTTAGACATCTTGCGGTTCCTACTGTACGCATCTTAGCCCTCAGCTCGCCTGCCCCGGCCCAGGCTCATGTCGTAAGAGCCTCACTCTCTGCCCACTGCCAACAGTCGCACCGGGAGGGCGGGTATGCGCTGCTAGAGTGCAATACTGTGAGATTGATGGGATTGGAGCTTGCTTGTCTGCAATCCTCTCTGCTCAGTGACTCGACAGTACCATCAGGTGTAGCTACCCGCAAAGCATCGCGACAATCCTGGTCTTGGGTTTCCTGAAGGTATTTGAAGGTCTAGCAGTCTAGCAGCCTAGATTTCCAGATTCAAGCCTGATTGCTGTGTCCTCTCGTGCTTCAGCACTGCATACTGGCGAGCAGTCACCATAATCGCATCCCGGATCTCATGCCTCTCAGATGATGCAGACACTGGCTCTTGTGGTGTGGGTAGCAGTGGTATGCATCGCATCGTGAGTTGAGCCTGTAAGCCTTTTCAACACTCAGCAAAGAAGGCCCAGCCCTGTCGAACAGGGTTGTCCCAAGACAGAAGGGCCCGAAGAGCATCCAAACTGTTCCAGGAGAAGCATAGCAGACCAAATCTAGCTTGAATCAAAGACCGTGGATCCTGTTGTGATCTGCTGTCTGCACCCTCAACCCTATCTCTGAGCAGAGCTCCTGTTGAAGCCGTTCACTATTGCCTGGCCTCGTGCTCGGCCAGATAATCTTCGTGAAGGGGCCTTGCTCCGTGGTGCGTCCAGTGTTGCTGATGTACACCACCTGCTGGCGGTCGTTCACGTACTTGACCTCGGAGGTATAGCAGTATAGCAACATTCACACCCTGGAGCCGGTGGAGGATGCACAAAAGATCCTCGCAAATGGCTCAAGATTCAAGACCAATGCCCAATGAGCATGGTGCCAATATGTGCCATTATAAAACTGCTCCACGCAATGAGCTGTGCTCTGCTGCAACTATGTGGTGCCCAAAGTCCAAAGGCAACTCCAAGGTGCGCTAGTGCCCAGCACGATGAAGAAGATCCTGGGGTGGTTGGAGCGTGTTGGAGCTGGGGATTGACAGCTTTCAAACTCTACAGTGCCCGAGACCCACATCTTCAGTTCTGCAATTTTGTAACGTTGTGAACCAACGTAACTTCTGCAGAAGGTCAGCCAACCGAGACAGCAGCCCCCTCCTCGGCAACGCATTTTGGGTTCAGGGTTTGTAGTGTTCACTTGTGTGCTCCTCATGCACCGGGTGGTTCCGCCACTGTGGACCCAGCCGCCCTCCTAGAGCTCCAGCATGTGTACAAAGCTAAGGCTGCGGCCGCAAACTTTAATCGCACACTTCTTCTCTTCGCTGAGGGAATCCATGGTCCTCATCGGAAGCTTGGCTTGCCAGCCCGGACGACCTGATGCCTGATGCCGATGGCAAGCTCCAGAGTCCTTGAATCTGCGCCGGCCCCACAGTCTGATTGGGCTTGAGGCAACGGCTGCGCTTATCAACACCAGGATCCAACCAGCGGAAGCAATGAGTATCAGGGAGGTGTGAACGCTCGCAAGCTGCTACCTTGCCCTGCCCTTTTGCCGACGTATTGGAAGAGAGCAACGCGCAGGCGTCACGGATCAAAAAGACAAACCGTGACTTGTTTGGGCCGGCTCCATCGGCCATAATGGTCTGCTTATGGTCCGGGCAGTGGCAAACCACCACGACAGCAACTTAGACCATAGCGAGGCTGCTCAGCTCAAGCACGATTATCAAGTACTATGAAGTTAAGCCATGCCACGCCCCGACCAGCTCAAGCGACACAATTCCGGCTCACTGCTTGCAGTGCACGGTGCTGCGGTCGGGCAGAACGTCGAGGTGGCAAGAGCCGCGGGCACGGTGCTCCATCCAATCCTCCACAATGCGTCACAATCCATTCGCGGGACCAACATTCTTAAGTGGGCTCTATATGCTCTATATGAATCTGTCGGTGTCTCGTTCTGCCTGTACAGCTATGCACTGGCTATGCAAAATGAGGTTGCGAGCAGCATTGCGGGACTGCAATGAGAGAAGATGTCCTCCAGCTGGGACTCAGGGCAAGCACACTGAGCTCGATAGTACTGGTATTTGCACCTCCGTGAGCGTTTGGGGCACTGAAGCTTCCAGGGTCTATGTGGAGGCATTCCAAATTCAAAGCTGCTGGGCAACTGCGGATAGGTGAGGCATGTGATTCATGTGCAAGATGCGGACTCGGGGACTGCAGGAGATGAAAGAGGCCTTGTGTCCTCCTCCCCGAGCTCACGGGCACAGCGCGCAAAGACCGTGAAGCGCAGGATGCAGTTGTTGGACTGGTTGGTCAGCGACAGGAACCGCGGATCGTCCATGTGAGGATGGGCGGCGTTGACGGCATCGAGGCTCGCCGCATGGAAGACCCTCTCCTTCGCGTTCGACATGGCTCCAGAGCTGTGTCGGCGGGGGCTTTCCAGGTTTTACAGCTTCCCACTTAAGACCAAGCTTGAGCAACAGGTGCAATTGCCAGCTGACCAAGTCATCCAATTCTTCCAGCCCACACGAACAGTAGCAATACACAAGTCAAGTGCAGCAGTCGCAACTTGCTACTACATCCTATCGCTGGTTCTGTGGGACGGCAAATGCTCCACGCGGAATCGCCTGTAGGAACAACCAAATTGGGACGCAGGCTTGTCAGCAGCAGCCCTCCTGGCTGCCTGCGGGCCGATACTGAGAGCTCGAACTGCTCCCCAAGATCGCATGCATTGCCACAATTTGCCACAGGTGGCCAGAAGGTGCAATGTCTCGTGATCTCGGCGCACCTCCATGGCTGCTACCACGGCCAGAATGCAAGCAGCCTGTGAATTTCCAACGGGAAGCATGAGTCAAGGATTCGGCTTGTCGGAACTCACCCGAGGTTGGGGCTGTGGGCGCCGTTTGGCTGGCAATGCCCGGCAGCTCATTGATGGTCAGCATCTGGGCCGCGCAAGGCGCGAAGGCTCTATAGGTCGCAACTGCGCCCTCTTTCGGGCATTTGGCGGAGCAATTGTAGCAGCGTAGCAGAATGGATGCAATTCGGGGGCATCCCACTTTAAAGGTCTCGACCCTGGCGCGGAGACATTGGCGACGAGACACGACCAAACAGATGCCAAAAGTGTCCATTTTTAAGTTGGCACACAGTGTTGCATCACATACCTGCTCCTGACAGGTGAGCATAGGTGAGCGATGGTGACCTACAGAAAGACAGTAAGACCCCGCGCAGCGCGCTGCTCCGATGTCAGCGCCGACACCTTAGTTTTCTTTCTCTATACGCATGCAGGACATGCAAGACAGGTTACTGCTAGTGGTAGTGAGGCCATGGCCTGAAGAGGAGTGATGCTGCGTGCAGGATCCAGTTCTCGTGCTTTAAAGATATTGCTAGCTGCCGCCACTGATAATCGCAATTATTTCTTCTTGTAGACATCCAACCAAAACTCTGGATATCAGAAGCGTAGAGATCGGATGCTTGAAGCTGCGCCGGCTGGACTTGGCACTTAGGCAGGGGCCGTGAAAGCTTCGAAGTTCACAGACACCACTGAGGCCTCCAGAGGCAAGCTGAAGGCTCAAAGTCGCACGCATTGCACCTAGGACCAAGCCGCTGGAGCAGCCAGAAAGTTGAAAAACCCCGCTTTAGCGAAGGTGCCGAAGCACTGACTGGGCGACCAGCAGCCAGTGCGAAGCCACACAAGATCCACTGCCACCTTCTCAGCTACGGCGACTTGCAAGGGCAATGACTGAAACCATTCCGTGAGGCGTGGCTACGAAGTAAGTTTTATAAGTCTGTCCTGCCCGAATCACGAAGGTCTGAAAACTTGCTGAGGCGACCGCCACACGAAGTCACCGCTGGGCATATCATCACGTAGCATCACGAGCAGCGCGCTCCTTCTCTCTTCTCTCTCAGAATGCAGAGCTCAGGGTGCTGCCACCTTGCCTCTCTCTACCACCGTATGCACGGCCTCGCAAGCCGTTGCTTAAGGCCCCGACTGTGAAGAATTCATGGTAGGCTGCAAGAACAGCCTGACACCCAGACCAGAGTACAGGAGGCTGTTTTGTGTTTCGCAGATTGTCCTCATTGATCATCCTTGGCTTATATCGGCTTGCCGGCTAATTGTGCGCAAGGCGCTGCAGCTTGACAGGTTGTGACGGCTCAAAGAATTTCGGCACGATGCCGGTGGAACTCAACATGCTGTCGCCATTTCTCGAACTCTTTGTGGTCTCCCTCAAAACCGCCAACCAACCCCCCCCCCCCCCGCCAACCAAAAAAAGAAAAACGCCGTAGCGTTACCGACCAGAACGACGCGAACTGCACTGACAATGCTAAGTTGGGCCGGGCGACTCAATGGAGCTCGACAGGGCTGCCTGGGCCAGGTTTGACCCCCATCAACCCTTGTAATGGCTCGCATCTACTAAAGTTGTATCCTGATTAGTGTGCCCCCCGGAATTGTGAAGAAGTTATTCAGGGGGTCTATTTGAGGTCCCGCGGAATTGTGAGGAAAAAAACGGGCGATGCAAAATTTCGGCGAGGCTGTTGAATGGCGTCGTTGTCTAGAAATCGCTTCTGAATTGAGCCTGAGAGACCAAAGATCAAAGGTTTAAAGCCTGAAACCTTGAGGCCTGAGGTTGTCGGGAAATCTTCAGTCTCCAGGCCAGCCCCAAAACTAAGATTTCCTCATTAAATTCTTTTGTAGCGAGGCCGGGCAATCAAATTTCAAAGGGGGTAGTCCAGCAGCTGCCCGAATGCCATATAAAATACAAAGTTTGCTCCCCCGGAATTCTATTTTTGCGGGCTATGATATAAAACGTTTGGTCCCCCTGAGTCTTGTTTTTTTCTTTTGCGGACCTGGCTTGGCTGGGATAGATGGATCCCCGTTAAATTCATATAAACTCATTCAAAATCATGTGGATCCCTTGTAACATCATATAATCCCTTTTAAATTCATATAAACTCATCCCTCTTAAAATCGTATGGATCCCTTTTAATTTCATACAGTCTCACCCCGTTTAAAATCATCTGGATCCCTTTTAAATTCATACATCATATGGATCCCTTTTAAATTCATATAAAGCCAGACCCCGCCCAACCAACACTAAAGAGCGGAGTCCATTTCTTGAGGGGGGGGGGGGGGCACTCATCAGCAGACAGCATTACTTGCATACACTCATATGAACCTCCATGCTCCTGAGCAGATAGCTGGATAAGGATAGCTAATTGGCAGTTGGTTGGTTCACTCGTACGTACGTGCAGTGCAGGCACATGCTGAAGCGGTAGCCGCACGTTTACTCTAAACATTGATGTCGGTGTCGTTTCTATATTTTTCGCTGTTGCATGTCTTCGCATGCCTTTGTGAGTATCGCACTAATGCCCATTGTAGTATATGCGTGATGGAACTGACTCGATGCTCGGTGGATCAAAGCTTTCGGTCTTGGATCGAATGTGCTGTTAGCTTCAGAGTCGCAAAGTTGTTTCACAAAGGATGGGCAATTCCCTGGTCGGTCCAGGCTTCACATACCAAGTCTTATTGCCGATGTTGTAGATATTGACCGTGCAACCGCGCAACCACAGGATGCAGCAGTTTCTGCTGATTCAGTCGGCTCCGCCCTTCGTACTCCAAACATGTACAGACGAGCAGCGAGCCGTTCTCTCATCGCTGCAAGAGCCGCGGAGGGTGTTGTCTCCGTCGTGACCTGTTGCAATCATTGCGCTTCATTTCCAGCTGTTGTCAAGCTTCTGGGAGCAGCTTGGGAATCAGACAGAAAACTCGCTAGGGGTTCACACACACACATGCCAGTGTCACAACGCTTCGGCAGGACATGTGAGGCATTGTGCGGCAAACCACGCCTGTCCCGTCATGATGTAAACACCTTATGCACAGGTAGCGGGAGTTACCGACTCCTCATGTGGAACAAATGCTGCAGAAACGCAACGAAGCTTGAGCCTAACTGAGCTCTGCAGTCCATTGTCACCATGACATCTGCCATCTACATTGTACGCTAGGCACCCAACACCTGTTCTGCTGCGTGCCACTCCAGCACCAGTATGAATGCGTATCAGTCGCCCCAGATACTTCAACCATTCTCTGAGGGTGGAACGATCGAATATCACTTGAGACTTGATGCTGAACAAATCAGCTCCAAGAGTTCGGCGCACCTTCCGGCCATGCACAATTGATGTCTTTCAAGTGTACTTGACTCGGTCCTGTTCCGCAGGAGGGAGTCTGGTAACTTCCTCGCCCCTTGGGGAAGGGAAGCACCAAGCATTGCACAGTTAATTGCGCAACATGCTACCCCTTTCTTCCGAGTGTGGGGCTTGCCCGTCTCGCTGAGCCCAAGCACAGGCCTCATCGGTCCAACCAGAAGCATAAGCCCACGCAAGGTCTGATGACCAACATGGGAGAAACGGTTGGGCCGCGGCATTGCAATGAAGCGAAGAAGTGTTTCATCTTCGAAGATTTTCTCCGCCACACCCTCTTCAGAATCAAGAAGATTGAAGTGTGGGGAGTCTGCCTGTGCCTTACAGGGCCAGTAGACTCACTAGAACGGTTTCGTGGCCTCGAGGTTCCTCACTTCTTCCGCCTCCTGTCACATCTTCAAGGACGCCCAAGCTCCCGGGTGCAAGCTTGGCTGCCCACCTGAGTTGCTGAGGTGTTGCTTCCAGCTTCCCCTGCAATGTGGCAGAAAGACAATAGAAAGACAGGTGATACTTGTCCTGAGCCTCTTGGATGCCTCATGCTCATACAACATCCCGAGATAGAACAGCTATGCAGGGGTAGCGCATGCTTACAAGGCCTCCGATGCCTCCAGCAATCTGGGGCATGGTTCCGGAATCCTTGGATTCTGTCTTCGAGCGGCTGGCTTTGCGAAGAAGGCATCTCTGCACAATGGTCCTTTCTATTCACCTGCATGGCATTGGACACATGTTCGGGGCGACGCCTCGGAGATGCCTAGCAGATGAGAACAAAGCTGTCTGGGTCGCTGGACGGCAGTTGGTGCCGAAGGCGTGGCTGGGGCCTGGAAACTACGCGACTGCTGCGGCAGTTCATGGTGCCGGTGCATCCACTGCGTTGACTGTGCCAGGACACAACAACACTTCGAAATGTCCACGGTCATGCAGAGAGTAACACAACGGACTTTTCTCGAATCCGCTGTACCTTGTGTGCAGCAGCTCGGCAACGTGTGCATGGTTCGGCATTGCGTCTGCAAAGCCATCTGGGATCTTTGCTGCTGCCAGCTGCCTCTCGTTTTCCCAAGGGCTCCAACAGAATCGCCCTCGACGAAAACATCGACTCCAGCATTCAGGACAAAGCGCCCCAGTGGGCCAGCGCAAGTCTGGAACAGAACCTGGACTGCACTCCAGGGCAATGCGTGCTGATGCTGCTCCGTGCACTCGCCAAATTGCCAGGGGAAGGCTGTCTTTGATGTCGTCCGATTCATCCATATATCCCAGCCAGGATGATGGGCTGTTCGAGGGAACCCAGCCATTCAGTGAGCGGGCAAGCCCTGAAGAGGGCAGGGAAGCGACTGTCCCGACGACCTCGACGGCAAGATTCAACATGATTCAATCGCGCTACAAACTCATTTGACATATTGAAAGTTGAGAAGGCTGATTAGAGAGATTTCAGGGTTCATTTTGGTATCTAGATCTTTTTAACTCCAAGGTTTGGGCACCTTGAGGACCCTCTCGGCGTGACTCAGATTCTCAGCCTCGGTCCACAGGGCGAGGCCGTGGAGGAGGGCCCAGGCGCGGCAGCTGCGGCCACGGCAACCAGTGTAACCGGTGCTTGGTTCGTTGCTTTCGGGGTGTACGTTGCCCTCGTTGCTGTCACTGCCGACCTGGTGTAAGAGATCGCTTGCCTTTAGGAGCTGCTCCCTGAAAGGCTGGGCCATTGCCTCCCACTCTTGCTGGCAGAGAGCAAAGCCAGCCCCTGCCGCAGACCCGACATGCAAAGAATCGGTCACATGCTTCCGCAGGCTGCGCAGCTCCGGGGAAACGAGGTCCCTCACGCTCATCCCGGCACCATCAGGAGGCAGTCCGTTTTCAAACAAGGACAGCCAAGAATCAAAAGCCAAGAGTTGACGAAGGCTCACGAAGCCTAACACTTCCAGAGTCTCTGCAAGGCCTTGCATGGCATCTGCAGCCACCATCGTAAATGGCAGGGTCGACCCGGTAGATAGTGATCGGTCACGCCCTACCCCTGGGATCCCGGAATCGCCCGTTGCACTTTTCACACCTCACACAGCTGATGTCTCTATGATCACAGTCACGGGCACTCAAGACATCATCTCGACAACTTAGGCTTCAGCAGACCGCCTTCCGATCCAAATTCGTAGGCACGGGTGGCGGCCGGCGGCTATGCGGCTGGAAATGCTTTGGCAGCCTATTGAACAAAGCAGACCTCGCACCGCAATGAACAGAGTTGTAGTCAGCCAAGCACAGAAGAGTCAGTTAGATGATGATCACAATTGACAATACTTAGTCTCACTTCTTGGCAATTTAAGCTGTTGGATGTTCACAAGCACCATTTGCAGCTTCGTCACAGATCCACTGCGAAACTCCATCCTGAGGATTGTCACCCACAAGACCACCAGACCCACCAACACAGCGTGCATGTACCTGTAGCCTCCGCGCTGCCTTCAGCCAAGCGTCGCTCCGGCCGCCACTCTGCAGCTGGCCGCTGCCGCAGGAAATCTGCGATGGTTGAGCTCACATTGGCATCTTTGCCTGGAGTCGACACACTCTCCAATGCGATGCAATGTGATGTTTGACTGGTTCTTGCAATGTGCCAGGGGGACACCAGGCTGGACGCGAAACACCAGCCTCCATACACCAGCCCAACCATAGGATGACCCATCAGCCCCAGGCGACCACAGAACTGCCTGTTGACGTAACAGTTGAGCGCCCCGAAATGGACCGGGACCTCATCGAGGAAATCCCGGGCCATTGCTTCGAGATAGGACATGTAGTCCGAGCAGCGAAGACACCAGGGCGTGAACGAAGAAACAATCCAAAGTTCATCTGATCTGGACACCTCCTCGAACATGTCTGCATCCAGGTTGGCGATCGCGCCCTCTGCCTCGCAGTCGCACTCTAATCAGGTTCTCGGGTTGCGATGACTTGGGCCAGGCCATCTGGCTCGTGCTTTGGATGCTTTGGCGACTAAGATGTGAACTCTGCACAAGCTTTCTGACTCTTCCTGGCAGGCTGCAAGCGCCACACGCTCGCTGCGTGTCTTGAGCTCCGAAACTTTGTCCTTAAAGCCCAAGATGCAAAGCAGAGAGGAGGACCCTCCACCCTAAAACTTTCCACTAGAATGCCCGTGACCCTTAACATCTGTTAGTAACCCCACAAGCCCTGATAAAGCCCTAGGCAGCTGCGTCTCAGAACCTTGCGCCTTGCAACGCTGCGCACCAGATGCAGCAGACAACGACTCGATCTCTTCCAGACCCACCAGCTCGAAGAATCGCGGGCCGCCCTTCCTAGGAAGGGCTTTCCAGGATTTGCCCGCCACTTATTAGGCTTCTGGCAGCATAAGGTTTAGGTTGATTTTACTCAGGCCTTGCTCAGCACCTGTCAGGTCTAGGGCGCAGGGTTTGGGCTCTTCCGGAGGTGCTTAGGGATGTGGACCTATCCCCATCCCAAACTTGCAACCTATTGCAAGCAAGCATCGCCTCAGCACTCACGGTCACCCATCCGGCCTCCTGACTGGCACGAGCTGGGTCGGCTTCTTGCACCTCCCTTTCAGGGCCAGAACAAAGAATGGAGTGTGCAAACTTCTGGCTCTTGACTGCGCTTTGCGGGCCGGTTATACCTTACATTTTGCATGACACAGCAAGAGACAGAAGTACCACACCTACTCGGCCGGTAGATCAGGCAGCGGAGCAGGCCCTCCAACATGGAACAGCTGGTGCCCATCACCTCCAATAGCAAGAACAAGTCTGCAGCAGCACGAGGTATTGATACCGTTTATCGGGGCCAGCCCGGATTTTGCAAAAGAGGATGTGCCTTTGCCTGTAACCGGTCGTGATCTCAAGTGGGAGGCGCGAGTGACAGTTGGCTCATTTGCAAGTAGTTGAAAGCCCGTGGTTGCATGAACTCCTTGTTCACACTAATACTGCCACACGAGGGTCAGTTCCAGGCAAAGGAGACTGGACAAGCAAGTATCATCGCTCAGGCACCTGACCCACAATCGTGCCCTTGGGGAAGTCGAAAGCCAGCTCGGAGTTTAACTCCTGAGCGGCAGTTCGGGAGTGTGGGAAACTGATATCCACTCGTCTCCTCACAGATCTTGGAGAAGGGCTTGCAGAACCCTGCAAGGATTGAGAACAGCCGAGAACCGCTAAAGCCTAGAGCCTGGAATGATGGCCAAACTTCAAGGAAAAGCCTCACGAATGAGTGTGAACCGCCCCAACAATGAAAAGCCAGGATTCCGGTCTGCTGCGTGCCTTCACGCTGGCTATACGAGGGCTTTTGGAAGCCCGCCAGAATCGTGGCTCGGAGGTGGGGCCTCGGGAGATTTGGCTACCACGAGATTTCCAAAGTCAGCAGGATACGGCAGGCCTTGACAGATCTCCAACCTTGGTTATCCAATGAAAAGCTCACCCGGAAGTGGCTGAGAAAAGGAAGGCCGTCGTGGCTGCAAGTTAGGTGAAGCGAAGGATACGAAGGAAAGGGAGCCATCGCACCGAGCCACATGTCCCGAGCCGACAGGTCTGCTGCACCCACGAGCCTCGCCGGCAAGACCGATGTGACCATGACCATGGCGGCAGTATTCATGCTCCGCTAGCGAGGGCTGCAGGTCGGGTCGGGTCTGTCTCTGTCTGTTGCAGTGTCGTATCACAGTCGCCTTTTTTAGCTACTGGACAATGGCTGTGCTTCTCTGCTTCTCTGACTGAAAGGCGTAGGCCCCAAGGCGCCCAAATTGAACCTCATCACCCCCCTGCGAGCCACACGTGGGCGGCAGACAGGACACAATCTGTTACAGTAGTTCGCATGAGTTTCACTGGCGGCCGCAGGGGCCGACTGTAGCCGCTATTGTCTGGAGGCCTCCGCCACGAGCTCCTCCAAGGATTCAGTCATCCGCTTTGCCGCCTGCGCGAGAGCTGGCACGACTAGTATTCACCAGTACAACAAAGTCTCGAAACATGCCCTGCCACATCATGCCTTGGTTTTGCCCCGGAGGGGTTTTCTGTTGCGGTGCAGCAGCTGTAGACTGTAGACACGTGTGGAAAGGCAGCTTTGCCGGTACACTGCACCAACCAGCTGCAGATCATGTCAGAACATCACACATTTCAAATGTTTCGCAACTGAACGTGACACTTCAGGCCAGAGGACATACCGAGGGTTGCTGCGGAGTCTGGCAGCACCGACTCCGGTGGCACGGCCAGACGCAGCCGGGCATGTTGCAGAAGCGAAGCGATCACCGTCTTCATCTCGATAATGGCCAAGCGTTTTCCAAGGCATTCCCGTGGCCCGGCATGGAAAACGGGATTTTCATAGGGGGTCTTGGCATCGTCATTCAGCCATCGTTCTGGGCGAAAATCCGCTGCATCTGAGCCCCAGATCGCCGTAGACCGGCCCATGGCATAGGAGTTATAGCAAAGGAGCGTTCCCCGCGGGACAAAGGTGCCATCGGGCAACGTGTCGGCATGAAGAGCGGTTTTCGAGTCGATTGGCACGGAGGGGTAGAGCCGCAGCGATTCCTTGAAGACCGCCTCCAGGTACTTGAGCTCTCGGAGCTGATCATAGGTAAGGGCAGCTTTTCCACACACAGACTGAAGCTCCTCGAGGATTTTTTCCTCAACTTCTGGGTGCTGCGTGAGAAGGTAGAGACACCAAGACATGCCCTGGGCTGTGGTGTCCCGGCCGGCAATGAGGAAGTTCAGCACCTGATGATAAACAACCCTGCAGTTCTTGGCGCTCCAGCCAATGGGCCAGTCAGCAACGCACAAAGAAAGAGATACAGTTTCACATACACTTACACTTGCACTTACACTTGCACGTACACTTACACATACTTACACTTGACAAGATTTTACTCCGGAGCGTACGGGATCGTCAAGATCATCCCCTGGATCCACAGTCCAGTTCTCAAGATCAGGAAGTCTTCAAGAGGCTCAGCACTGAGCACTATGAAAAATGTTGGTAGCTAGAACAGTAAGGCTTTCTCCAAGGCACAAGCTAGTCCAAGGCATGGGTCGAGATCACTGATCCGAGGCACGCAGGGACATGACTGATGTTAAGAACTTGTACCACTCTGCACAATACAATCCAAATCACCTGATTCTACCGCTCCGCCATTGTGGGTTTTTTGGGGGTAACTGCACTTGTTGCGCTAGCTTCGTTGTCTCGCATCGCGGACCAAGCGGCCACCCCCTTACAAGAACCAAGCCTAAGTAGGTAAAGGCACGGTCATGTAGATAGCGTTGACATGTAAATTCAAGATGTTAAGGGTAAATTAGTGTCCTTGGCACACACCCACCGCGCGCACAAGATGAACTCCTGACGCACGTTCTCGTCTGAGTTCCCGGCCAAATCCACAAGAAATTCCGTGGGTGAGTTCGGCTCGCTTTTCATGAAAAGGCCAACGAAGCTATCCCCCGCATCTGTGTCAAGCGACTTCGACAGCTGCTCGACGATGCTTCTGCTGTACTCTCGCAGGCTTCTCATGTGATACCTGCTATGCCTTTCGGAGCCCAGCCCCAGGAGTTGAAGGAATCCTGGGCGTCCACGTTCGCATATTTCAAAATTCATATTCACCCACTCTCAGTTCCTTAAGAGCTTCTTCATGCTCGACTCTGAAACTACAAGCTGGCGAGGATTTCAAACATTGGCAGCCATGAGGGTGCTCACTGCCTTCATGAACCTCCCAAAGCGAAACTGAACTCCTCCCCGACAAGCAATCGACAACCCAATCAGTTTCAGCAGGCAGTGTCACCGAGGCACGCCAGCCCGGCAAGACAAATCGCCTGAAAACAATCCTCTGCGCCTCATCAAACGAGCGCAGGAACGGTGACACGGCATTCTCAAGTGAGCCGATGGAGGTTCCGAATCCAATTTCACCGATGGAGTCCAAAGTAAAGCGGTTCAGCAAGTTGAAAATGTCCACCACAGGCTCTGGATTCTCGGACAAGATGTTCAATACCTTTTGACAATTCTTCTGCACAACTCTCCTAAGTTGGTCGCCGGGCTACAAGCTGCTGCAGCCTAAACAAATGGCCAGGCAAACCAATGCTCAACATGTCATCACTGATAGGAGTGCTTCTGAAACCAGTCAGGTATCCAGATGTGATTCTTGAACCTGTTCGCAGTAAACATCTGCGAGGCCGTCTTTCTCTGCTTGAACCAAAGCTCGCCATCTGCGTTGAAGATGCCATCGCCCAACAGGTCATGTACAGATTCGTAGAAGGCCCCACCCTTCGGAAAGTTGTCGAAGTTCGTCTTTAGCATGTACTCAACGTTGCGAGGATCCCTGGTTATGACCAAAGGCCGCATGAAGTACTGAAACACACCGAAGTCGAAGTAAAGGGTGTCCCCCTCTGTTTCGTGGAACTCGGCCAAGTTAGCGTGGGTGGTGTGCCTGAATTCAGTTAACCAACTGCAAGCCTGCTTATGCCTCTGCTACGCCCGGGACAGACTATTGCATCATCAGTCACGGACAGCCAGCATGTTGTGTGAAGGGTCATGGGGCAAGAAACCCGCCATGCAACACTATCACAACAACTGCAGCATACTGCAGCTGACTACCAGGTGTGGCCACATGCCTCACATGGGCAGTCCACGGCAATCCCTACAATCCAACACAGAGTCAGCGAGTTGCTGCGCGAAGTTTTTCCAGACCTCCGGAAGACAACCCAGTAGTCCTGGTCTGGTGAGCACGCCACACCCTTTGGGCTGAGACCTTGGTGGTTCTTAGCTTTTGCAAAGTGGCTATGTATCGTGACCGATGCCAGAATTTCCTAGGATAGTGCTCGGCACTCGACAACCGACTGGAAGGTGGTGAGGTTTACATGGCAGGCATCATCCTTGTCATAGCTTGTCAAACGTCACACCGCCCGCCCCAGCATCAATGCTGCTTGAGACACTGATGGAACAAGTATTGCTTGAGAGCCGCGGCAGACAGCAAGATGGCAGCACCACCAACGACAACTTGCACAGTTGTCTTGTCCGCCTGTTGCAAATGAGGCAAATGCACATAGCAAAGCCGACAGCAACGCCCAAGCCTGCATTTTGCCGAATCCAAGCAACTCGGCCAGGGGCTGTCTCGAGCCAAACATTTCTTGGGTGTCAGACAGAATCCAGCACATGTTGGGTCCCAAGCTTCACCTGAACAAACACAACGCCTGGAGACTGTGATGCAAGCTGCCTCAAAAGCCTCTCGCCACCTCAGCTAGAAAGATGCTTGCATTTCCGATGACAACCTCTTCAGTCCAGCAAGTGCTCCCATCCCCCACCGTGTTGGGTCGAAATGTGCTGTGTCTCGGGCGACAGCTTCCCTCCGACCTCGCTTGGGGAAAGCTGTTTGGCCTCGATGCAGTGGAAGGGTGGCAAGACCCCGTGCATTTGCTACCTCGAAACGCTCTTGCTTCGCAGCCCTGGCCACATGCTGGCCATGGCGCTGCTTCGAGGTTCACCCCAAAGTCCTTGCTGTCGCCTGTCAACTTCTGAAGCAGCAGCTATCGGCAGAAGAGAGGGAGAGGGGGAGAGAGGGAGGGAGGGGGGGAGGGGCGGCAGGGCAGCGGGGCAGAGGGGCAGAGGGGCAGAGGGAGGAGAGGAGGGAGACCAGGGACATACAAGTCATTCTGCGTTTCCAAAAATACGACATCTGGATGGCAAAGCGATCCAGATTTACCTTATCCGTGCCTCTCGACGAGAATCTAGAGGAAGCGAAACGAGACTCCGAATAGGAGCCTTTCATAAGCCAGATGGAAATAACTGCGTAGAAATGCTGATCATCTTTGGCCCCCCCCCCCCCACAAGTAGTATTATTTGTAATTGTTTCCATGCGGTTTACAGCGCGCAAATACACACCCCGCTCGTCGCACTTTTGTACATAAATTAAGCATCTACATAAAGGACATGTGTGCTTAGAATTCATATACAATCGTGAAGATTGTAAGGGTTCACAGTAAGAAGTGAACACGGGCTTTGGAACTCTAGCCACATATTTCTAAACTTGTTGCGGTGTTCAATGCCAATTGTGCTCGTTAAATGTTCAAACGCTTGGTATCTGCTCCGTTTACACGTAGTCTATTCACAAAAGCTTGAGGAGGGATTCGATACCCTCTTAGCTCAAGTGATCATTCTGGCTTATGATTATTCTGATCAGCTTTTAATGAGCTTTGTCGACCTGGCCGGGGGTGGCCTTCATTCTAGAAACTTGAGTGTTCTGATGGTAGTGTTAACACCAGTGGAAGAGATTCTTATGCGGGAAAGCTTATCTGCTACGGTAGCTGCTTCAAAGAAAGAGACAGAGAAGACCTCTAATTTGTAGAATTCTATCCGTTAGTAGCGCGTGGCTGCGCTAAGCTCATGTTTTGTAGTCAGTATCTGCTTCAGTTCAAGGATACACGCTGCCATACCTGTGCAAAGAAGCGATACAGTGCTCGAGAAATATGTGCACATTCATGGTAAAGGTTGTCATGTTCCAATGGTTTATGTCTCCATTTGCTTATGAAGAGCTTGGATGCTAGCGCACATCCATCCGCCGTGGAAAAGGAAAGGCGAGTCGTCTGAACTCAGATAGAGCAAGATCAAGTCATTGTCCTCTTCTCAAAGATGTTCATGTGGAGACGTGTGAAGAGAGAAAGAAAGAGAGTGAGAGGGAGAGAGAAGGTGCCACCGACAAGCCCGACTTGCATCCTGAGGCGCGCCCTAGGGCTCTCAAGTGTCGTTTTCATTGAAGGCCTCCTGACATCTTCTGCGGCCGTGTGGCCTGGCATCCAGGAAGCTGCTTCCGTTGGGTACTGGGCCACACATCACCGCGCGAGAGGGGGGCCTCCAAGCGTTCGAGCAGCAGCGCAATCCGCTGGACCTCCACATCGTAGGCTTCTCGGAACCTTTGAGGAGCCACTTTACAGCGGCTGATGTACAACGGCTAAGAATAAGCCTGCAAGTCTCCAGTGCAGGGCAACAATTGATTGAAGAAACAGCCCCGATAATCCTTCAGCAGCTCTGAGAATTTCTGGAACTGCTGAGTATTCAGCACTTGCTCAGGATCATCTGGAGCCTGCGGGCTAAGCATGTCAGGTCAATGGTGTGCCACCATCCTTGGGTTCTATTGAGTTGCTGCAGCTTCAACTTTGCGCTCTGCGCGACTGAGCTCGAGATGTTGACATGACTGCAAGTAGAGACTATAGCAAACAGATCCAGAATGAGAGTTGCAACAAAACTAATACTGCAGATGTTGTGGGTTGCTCCTTTTCATCAAGACTCGCTGACGACTCCCTGTCTACTCCAGAGGCCTCAGACCCGGCGCGAAGCCGAGCAGATGAGCTTCGCCGGCACCACCTGGATTGCCCAAGCCTGCACCACTTCAGCAGGCAAGCTCAGGCCCATCGCGGCTGCAACGTCCAAAGCCTGATGGTCAGCGCGGTAGCTGTCAGGGCTGATCGCGCACTGTGATCTGCCCCGGCTCGGAGAGCCCCATGCCTGCAATGGCACCTGCACATGCTCTGCGGCCGCATCCTTTGAAGCAATCTCTCGCTCTCTCTCTCTCTCTCTCTGACAAACATGCTGCGCACGACACCCCATGGATCTTTTCACAGGTCATTAAAGCTAACTCTGTGCAGCAAATCGTTCAGGGTTCATGCGCAGCCATGACGACCTGGGGTCCGAGCGGCTTGTGGCCATAAACGGTGGACAGATCTGCCTGGATTGCCTTGAGATTGCAGGTCTGCCCAAATTGTGAGAGGGGACCTGAACTAAGGTGCGATTGCTCAGAGTATGAACTTCGCTCTCACATGTTCTGCCCCGGCCCAGCTTACTGTACAGCAATTATATATCGGGCCGAGCTTATAACACAAACACACACACACACACACATACACAAAGGCGCGCATTCGAGATTCTCGGACATCAAGTACGACGGTGGAACTCGGCGCAACTGAGCGCTGAGTGGCCCGGTTCCTTCGGCCGTCCGTCTAACTTGCGATGGCTTGCAACGAAGGAGACTTACGACGTACCGCATGACTGATTTTGCATTTGCAGGTGAATCATGGTCATGGCCTGTTCGGCACATAGCGAGGCGACAAAACATGCAGCTCTTCCTTTGGAAGGCCTGGAGGGCAGCTGCCAAGCCTTCACGGTTTCACCATGTTGAGCTCTCAGTCAGTTGTGTAGTGCTGGCTTGTCAGGCTGCTGAATTACAACAGGGCCCAGGAGAGGTTGTCACGGCTTGGATCAGTAGTCACCAGTGGCTTCCTTAGACAAGAAATATTACAGTGACAATGGCAAGCGTTTCCGGGCACCAGTAGAATGTGAATGCCTTCGCCAAAAATTAGCCCAGGAAGCTGCTTATAAGGAGCCAGCAAGCTTGGCAGCCAGCAGCAGCTCCTTCCTTTGCAGAGAAGCGTCACAGCATCTGGGAGTCACGGCCATGCGGTAACTGCATTCAAAGATTCCATCGGAGCCTCTGGCAGAATTCTTGAGCAAATCCTTTATGTCTGGGATGGAGCGAGCCCTGGAGACAATGAGGGCAATAGCCGACATCGTGGTTCTACTGCAACCTTTTTCTCTTCAGCAGGCCTTTGAAGACCCTGGTCCAGGACTCGGGCAATTCGAGCCCTAGGCAGGCAGCGCTCTACTGCGCAGCGACGCCAAAAGTCCAGGCTGGTGATCACCTCAGGCCAAAGATCCCAGGAGGCCCAGGAGGTCTGACCAATCTCAAAAAGGTGCAGCAGTCCCAGGGTGCATCTGGGGGAAAAAGTGCAGAACCCTCTCCTGCTGCAAACTGGAGTGAACTGGAGTGGCCTTCATATGCCTTCATGATTCCTGGAGCTGAGGCTTCCACACACTCATCACCCAGCAGCGCTTCCACCCTGCCTGATTGGCCAGTTAAAACACTAAGGTCAGAGCCCGCAATCCTGCAGCATGCTGTGTTTCTTCTTTGTTCTTTCCTCTACTCTTCTTCTGCTGATCATCTGTCTCTCTCTCCTCTCTCTCTCGCTCTTTTTCTGGCTTGTTCGTAAACACGCGGGTCAATCCGAGCGTTCTCCGGCGGTTTCTCCTGTCCGTGGCCCTGCTACTTGCGCCTGCCGGACTTGTAGGCTGCGTTCTTCGTGAGGTCACTTTCTTCCCCTCTCTGGGGTCTACTTGCCGCCCTATTTCAGGAAGTCCCGCAATGTCCCGCACATGTTGTGCAGCTGTTGCGACTGGATTTGGCAAAACATGTCGTGGCGATGGTTGAGCAGCATGCGAAGTTTGGTTGTTCGCTCAAGGCGCACACGACACAGAGCCATCGCTGAGCCACCTTCCAGTCGTAGCCGTCGTCGTAACCGTAACTGCACTCGCAATCGAACTCACGATCGTCGTAATGATGATGCTGGTGGTGGTGGTGGTGGTGGTGGTGGTTGTGCCATCGATTCGCGGCTTTGGGATTTCTGTAGGAATGTGAGCGAAGCTCGGTCATGTAATGACAAATAACATTCATAACAATGACGAATACAAACATAACAACACGCAAGGCATAACAATAACCGCAAGTCTCACAGTCAAAATCGTAATCAGAATCAATCCATGTAGAACGTACATGCGTGTGCACACATACATATGTACATATGTAGACGTATGCAGGTATAAGTTCTGTAACACACACACAAACACACACACGCACACACACACACACACACACACACACACACACACACACAATATGCAAATCTGAAAGTTGAGCCATACCGAGAGGGCTGGCCGATCAGCCGGAGGCCACCCTCGCATCGGCTGAAGGAAACCATGGCCCAAGGCCCCAGATCTGCATCCTCAGAAAGGATTCGGAGTTTTGGGAAGCCGGGAATGAAGTACCTTGAGCAACTGAGGGTCCAACCTCACTCACCTCAACAGATTGTTCACTGGCGAGCTCACCTCTCGCATGGAATTCGCCCAGCCACCTGCTCAAAGGTTGTGAGAAGCTGCCCTGCGATTGTGGAGTCTGCCAGGTATGTGAGTGGAATGCCATGAGAAAAGGTGGAACCCGGAAAGGCGCCTATTCAAGAATGGTCGTGCGAGCTGAACGGCCGATGAGTTCAGAATAAGCTCTGGTTGCTTGAGAATCTCTTCGGGGATGTGCTCATTGGTCAAGTACATCATGAGCTTGTCGCCTTAAGCATGCTCTCTTGGTGCTTGGTGTCCCATCAGCCAATCCCTGAGCCCAAGACTTAAAATGTTCGACGCCCCCCTCACCCAGTCCAAAAAGCTAAACTCGACTGGCCACGCACATTTGGCATACGAGAACATGCGCGTTTAGCACAAATCACTCTTGCACCGATGTTTCGCGCCTACGGACTACTGTAGGAAGTCACAGACCTAGAACAACTACGCATACCTCGAATGCAGAAACGACATGGCCTTGCAGCCATGACTCTAAAATGATTGCAGTTGTGGGTCAAGGCATCATAGGCGCCCTTGTTGAACTCGTGTGCCAGTGTAACACCAATGTGGTGAATCACTTCCTCCCGACTCCTGAATGTGTAACCTGACAAGCTCAAGTGTCCGAATTAGAATCTTTCTCGTCCTGCCCATGAACACATGCAAAAGTCATGCAACGCATGCTGCAACATCGTCTTGTTTTACGTGACTGGCTTCACCCCTGGATGGACAAGTCGCCCATGAAGCGTTTTTCGACTGGCTCCCCAAAAGGCGTAGTACATGGAGTTGAACAATACACCTTTCCGCCATACCAGAACTCCCCCGGCTTGTCCGTAAACTCAACGAGAACACCAGTGTGCCAGAATGCGTAGAACTGTGGACCCAACAGCCACAGCCAGGACTTGGCTTTGCCATCAGTGATGTCGTACATCCTGGTTTTTGAGCGCTCAACAAAAAACATCTAGGTCGATACGATAGACTTATGAAATCGGGTCTAGATCTCCTTGGAAGCCCGCGGCCCGGATGCCCGGATGCCCGGATGCCCGTAGGCCATAAACAGCCCGTCGATCCCGTAGGGCTCCACAACATATAGGGGCTACCATGCATCGAAGCACGCGCGCAATTTCATAGAAAATGCTGTAAATAGTGCAAGCTTTCGGGCCCGTAGAAAGTAGATCCCTACAGACTCCAGCGCAGGGTCCGCAGAGGGCCCGGGCCTGTGTGACCACCATTCTCATGAAATCCCCTGAAAGAACTCAGACCTGGTGATAAAGCCGGGGCGGGGGGGATTGGGAGGGGGGATAGGAGGGTGATTTCAATACTGGCCCGAGCTGCAGCAAATACACCTTCTGCCGTCGGCGGCCCAGCATGACACTTAGAAAGTCGTAGTAGCTCAATTCTTCGTCCTCTTCGAAGGCCAGTTTGCCTCACAGGTCCCAGCACTGAGAGAAGCGAAGCAAGCAACACTGTTTGCGCCCTACCATGCCCTCCCTTAAGCCCTTCACCCCAAATACCAGTCAAGTCTTAACAAATCTCATCGAGCGCCTGCTCGATGTTGTCGCAGAATGTCCTGTGCCCAGTACTTTTCCATGGCTTGGTCAGGGAAGGCTTCCATAGCATGGCATGCCTGACCAGCAAGCTGCAAATGGCGTGAACTCCAAAGTGTCTCTTTGAACAGGAGTCTCACTGCCAGGAGCTGCAGCGAGAGACGCCTACGTGACATGATAGTATATGAAAGTTGTGCTTATGTTTCAATGATTATACCAATCTCAGCACGGTCGCCTCCACTAAGCCATCTACAGGTATAGCCAGCTGGCCAGTGGTCCCATGCAATGTTGTTCCAAAAGCTTCGAAAATAGCCTGCAACCGCTCCAAGACCTGCACAGCGTAGGGTTCATCTGGAATATGGTTTCGGCGCTCTGGGGCTACTTGATGATGCTACTTGGAACAACTTCAATTTAATAACCCGGGGGTCCCAAAGGGCTCGCGTCGTGTTTGGTCCTTCCTGACCTTCGGGTCGTACTGCAACACAACCCGCAAACGCTCGTTCAACTCTGCAACCGCAGAGGCTGAGGGCGCTTCCATTTGCAGTGCCCAGTAGTGCACCCACTCCTCTTTTGAAAGGTCAGGTTGGTTCCTCAATGATGCCGATCTCATGACCTGGTCGGCTGCTTTCCGTTTCCATGCAGGGGCCTATTCCATTGTGACTTGTGACATATGCGCTCTCACTTAGCTTGCGTGATTGAACGAACCCTAAAAGCGATGAAAAACATCATCGGCCCACATCTCAATTTAATTTTGCATTTATTCCAGGGAGGTGTTCGGGACATGCGAGATTCCATCAAGGTGCCTCGCGCACAGTTGCACCGAGCAAATCGTCGTCTTCAACGGCAAAGGGCCAGTTGCTTAGAAGATCGTCCATGGTCAGCAGTTGCTCTGCATCCACGGCGGCAGAGGCCATCTTGCAAAAGTTGTCCCTGCACTTGTCGAAATCCCATATTCCCGAATCCCTCAAGATTTCGACGAACGTGAACCGTATAGAGCGGATTCGACCCGTTTCCTTGTCGGTCCGGGTCATGGCATCCAAGTCGATATGGTACGTTCCGAAAGTGGACCACACATCAAAAGCCCGAATGCATGCATCACGCTTCCGGACTATCTCGAGGCTTTCAGATGGGATCAAGCATTGCCACCCAGTTCCACGCCACGCTTCAACCACTTCATCTGGCTCGATACGGATAGATATGGTCTTACCGACTGCAAGCTCACGCCGCCGTGAAGGGTGCGGCATCCTGCCCCTTTCCGGCCATGGCTTCACTACGACGCCATGCTGGCCGGTTACAGCTTCAACAAGCCAAAACACGAAAAGCGACGGCAGCAAAAACACATTCAGGAATTTGTCAAGGTGTATGGTGCCGTGATGCACCATGCCATGTGGCTTTCATGTACCCGTAAGACATCAACCCGAATCGTTCCAGGGCTTGGCGTTGCCATGTGAATCATGTGCGACGCAAACTACTCCAGAAGACTTATGCGTGCGATTACCATACGTCATGACATGTTTAGTGCCATGCACTGGCATATCTCAAAGCCCGTTGCCATCAGCAACTATGCATGCTTTTTCCCTCTAGAGTCTAGTTGAATGTCTAGGTTCATAGTACCTGCAAGCAGTACTGCCTAACGATGCAATGTATGTTGAAGCACAATAAGCTGCCAACAGGTCAGGGCGACGGCAACCATCGGCTTTGACACGCGTTTTTGCACTGTCCTACGGTTTGGACATATTGGTGACGTAAACAAGGACTATGCTCTGGCTCTTGCCGGTTCCGTGACAAATCGCACATGTCAATTAACTAGTTGTTTTGTGCCCGCGCCGCCGGCCAGGGTCGGGCGTGCTGGACGGCGATCGACAGCATTTTCCTTTTTCCTCCGCTGCGATGTCCCCAGCGGCTAAAAGCCGCAGTCGCCGAAGGCGCGGCAGCGCCGTCAGCGCAGCGGCAGCCTGCTGGGGCCCGGCGCTTCAGCGAGGTGCAGGACCTGGTCCAGGTCAGGGCCAACCCGCTGGCTGGGGTGGGGCACAGGCCAGGAACGGCCCAAGGCCGTGCTGGCGACGGCCTGCTGGACCGACACCGACAGCTGGCTCCACCAGCGCCGTGCCCACGCCGAAGCGGCTGCTTGCCGCAGCGCGGGCGGCGCGTGCTGCGCACGGATCCGGACCAGGTCGCGCACAAGTTGGAGCGCCCCCTGGCTCCACCGTCCGCCCACCTCGGAGCCCAGGACCACCAGTGTCTGGGGCCCTCCCGCGCACAGCTCCGGGTATGCGTCGCGCTTGCGGCGCTCCGCGACCCGCAGGACCGCTCCGTCGGTCGCAGCAGCGCCGGGCTGCGGCAAGCCCGTCCGGGTCAGTGGGGAGACCAGCGTGGCGTCGCAGCACAGCGCCATAGATTACCAGGTCCAAGCGGCGCCTGTCGGAAGGGTCCACCCGGGGGGCCGTGGTGTGGGCCAGCCATTGCTGCGGGACTACTTGCCCGTCTGCCCCAACTGCTTCCCGAGCCGCCCGCACCCACGCCCGTTCCACTATCTTGGCACGGCGGGCGAGGAGGCCGCTGCGGGGGCATGCCAAGGCGTGGTCCCCGAAAGCGTCTACTTGCGCGCCGCACCCCGGAGAGGGCCCACAGCGATCGGAGTGGAGCGGGAGTGCGAGGCGGAGGCGTCGGCGCAGTGCCACCTGCATGGCCTGGGGTTCCAAGGTCATGGCGGGCTCAGCGGGCACTGCTGTTAGCCAGGCTCCCGCATGCGGCCCAGCCTGCGAACGCAAAAGCGCAGAGGCGGCTGGCGGCAAGGATGGCAATAGCACGCTGTCGCGGAAGTGAAGGTTCCGGGTACGCGACGCGTGGCTTTGCCAACCATGCGGCCAGTCGCCCAGGCCGGCGTCCGCAAGGGGGCGAGGGCGGGCTTCCTCGGCAAGAGCTCGCCATTCGGGGCATGTATGCCAACCTTCGGCCCGGAGAAGGCTGCGGGCACCAGCCGCGCTCTGCAAGCAGGGCGCGGTTCCACCCCCGGCGCCCAAGTAATCCACGCAGGAGGCGGCGAACTCGGGCACCCGCGCTCGGAGTACCGGCAAGGCATCAGCCCAGGCAGCCCAATAGGCCGCCGGCGCCATGCGCGCAGCCGACTGCAAACCCAGGCCTCCGAGCGCAGCGGGGAGCCCCGCCAGAGAGCGCGCTCCGTCCGCTTCGTCTGGAGGAAGGCCTCCCAGCAGTGCGACCAAGGTCTCCCAGACTGCATCGTCGTGCAACTGGGCGTAGGAGGCGACCTCGGAGGGGGGGACGGTCCGCAAGGCATGGTTAGCGCGCGGGGAAGCGCACATGGCCAAGAGCAGCCAAGCGCATTGGAGGTCTGGGAGCCGGGGCAACTGCTCTAGCAGGTGGCGCTTTTCGTGCGCTCGGGTCGTTGCCCAGGCGCGCACGAACTCCGAGTGGCCGGCCGGCGTGCCCAACACAAGCAGACCGCATTCCGCCAGGGGCCGGTCCCCGCGCCACACGTCCGTGCCCAGCTCGGCCACTCCGGGCGGCGGCGGGCCCCCTGCCGGGCTGTAGACACGGGTTTTGCCTACATTGGACGCGATGCCGCACTCGTCCTCAACGCGGTGGACCACCACATCGCGGCACTCCCTGGCACGATCCCGATTGGTGACGACGTAGAGGTCATCGAGGAAGGCGAGGAGGCTCTCGGAAGGTGCGAGGGCCGAGGCCGCGCTGCTCAAAGCACCATGCTGTCCGAGCGCGTACAGGGCGGGGGCCAACGGGTCTCCCTGCTCGCAGCCCTCGCCCTGCGAAACCTCTCGGCAATTACCTGCCGCGTCCCACCACAGGTACGTGGACGGGTCGCCATACCACATGCGTACAAAAGGTACCAGCTCCGGCGCAAAGGAGTTCAGCGCGGACAAAAAAGCCGCCCAGGACATGCTGTCGTAAGCATTTCGCCCGTCCAGCGACACGACTACTGCATCCGGCCGCATATCGAGTGACGCGCGCACATGAGCCGCCAGGGCGTCTGTACCGGCCCGAGCTTTGAGCGCGAACTGGTATGGGCGTGTAGCCTGGTCGAATGTGTCGGCCCAGCCCTGAGCCAGCGCGCGCGAGACGAGCCGACGGAAGACGTCGCCTGTTGCGATCCCGCGCACCCCGCCGCCGGGTTTTTGAAGCGCGGTGAGACGCGCCAGTGCCAGGCCGGGGACGATGGCAGCAGGGATCTGGGCATTGGCGAGCTGGGTGGCCGCGTGCGTCAAAAGTTCGAGCGCGCTGACGTCCTGGAGCAGGAGCCTGAGATGCTCCGCCAGCATGCCGGAGAGGCCCGCGGCGCCGCCCCTCTTGGCGCCGCGCAGAGCCGCGGACACAGCCGCTGGACCTTGTGAGTGGGCGTCTGCGTCAATAGCTCGGCGGGGATGGGCTTGCGGAGCTGAGGCGGTCGACAACATTCCCCACCAACGTCGCGGCATGTCGCGTGCGGCTCGCGCGTCGCTTTCCGAGGTTACTCGCAACCGGGCAGAAAGCGTGTCAACCCCGGCACTCGTGCGAAGCGCGAACTGGTACGGCCTCGTAGCTTGGTCAAAAGCTGCCGTCCAGCGTGGAAAGGCTCGAAGTTGAAGTCGCGTTGCTCCGCCAGCTACCCCTGCTGCCCGACCTCCAGTGCGCTGTTGGCTGTTGCCACACAGCGGGCTCTCGCCCTCTCAGTCCTTGATCTCCTTGAGATGCGGTTGGACAGGGCAGACGAATGAGACGGGGCGGAGCCGCCGCTGGCTGACCTGTTGGCAGACGCTCGCCACGTGTACCCAGTAGCTGCAAGCCGCTTGCCGCTGCGCGCCTGAGGCAACGCCCGCAGCCTGTCAGTAGCAGCTCCGGCCTGGGACAGATAGCTGCGAGGAAAACCGGTGTGCCTCCCTCGCCCTGCAAAACCCTGCCCCTCCCTGCCTATTTAATTGAGGTAGCTGTTGGGCTGTCCATAACCAGTGTCGACGAAGCGAGGCGGCTGTTGACACGAGCAGTTAACGATAGTAGTGCTAGATTTCATTCACCGGCGGGCGCACAAAGGTAAAGATTCTTTTTCCAGCACTTACGAACGGAAAGGGCGTGCCACACCCCTTAATTCGAGCATGACGTAGCAGGGCCTCCGGCTACGCGCCCCCCATGCGGAGCGAGCGACCGCCTCGGCCACCGAGACGGCGTTGACAGGTGGGTCTCGTCCCCAGGAGTAGCCGGGGACAGCTGGGGCTCCGTCACTGAGGCTGCTTTGGGCTGCTTGGGCGGCCATGGGCTGACAATTTTGGGCATGGGCATGGGTATGCCCCCGAAGCCGACGACCTCTTCGACCTGTATGCACCTCCCGCGCCGCGTTTCTGCGCAAGCTGCGCGACGTTGCGCCAGAACTTATGCCTTTCGCGCGCATTTTCTACGGACGCCCGTCGGCGTACCAGTAGTGGGACGAGGGGGTGCGCCACGAAATACACCAGGCGGAGGGGTGCGAGCAGGGCGACCCTGTTGCCCTTGCCCTTTTCGCACTAGGCCAACACGACGCGCTGCGTCAGGCCGACTCTGGCTTTCCTGGACGACCTCTACGTCGTCCTGGCGGCACCCGCCCAGGCGCGAACAACTATGGACCTCGTCACAGGCACCGTTGCGGTGGCGATACAGGAGCATGCGCAGCGCGAGCAGAAACAGCTTCCAGCCCGCCGCTCGCATGACTGAAGGGTGTCTACCCTCTTACCAAACTCCGCCCGCAAGTCCAGCCAGGCCAGCATCACCCAGGCGGTTGCAGAGGTTGCCGGCGTAGCACTGCGCGGGGCAGGTAGACCGGTGGGCACCCTCGACGTGCGCTGCGGCTGGCACGTTCGGCCGCCGACGTGAGCACGGCGGCAGGGGTTGCGGGGGGCGGGGGTGCATGCGAAGGCGTGAGCGAGGGCCGCCGCCTCCACTGCCGCCGCCTGGCCCCCGAAAGCCTGCAGGAAAGCGGATTGCGCAACGGCGTGCATGTAGCCTGTGTTGTCCGCTGCCAGTGCGACTGCCTGCGGAAGGTTGGTAGTATCCTCACGGTGCTCGGCAAGTGTACCGCACAAGTGGATTGCCGCTTTTCCGTCAACGCGACCGCGTGTACGAACGCCACAAGCTCACCTGTACTGATCGGCAAGGCGGTGGCCAGTAGCGACGTGAACGCCTGCCAACGTGGTCCGAGCGGACTTGCGGCCCGGCGGGGCAGTGGAGAGTTGGGGACGACACCAATCCGTGCGCGGCGCAGTGGTCGCGCGGCTCACCTCAGAATCCACCTCCGTGGGCAAGCACAGGGGCGCTGGAGACGCGGTGGGGGGGCAACCGCGGCGGGGGAAGGAGGCGTTATACACTGGATGTCGTCACCGTCCGCGCAGTCACAGTCCCTCGGATGCTTCGCCGCCGTCGCTTCCCCCAACAACACCGCCGTCCAACCCCCACGCTTGAGGGTCCTGCACTGGAATGGGGCCTCAGCAGGACGCCTTTCCAACTCCACCACCTTCGTTTGACCGGTTTGAAAGGGAAGCATCCCCGCGCAGGCGTCGCATCGAGCGCCTGCGTTCTGTCCACGGCGCGGGGTCCAGGGTGTGAAGCCTCGCCTACGCGTCGACCGGCGTACGGGTTCCATCGAGGCAAACATGGCAAACAACGCGGTGGGCTAGGGTACATGGGCACAAGCGGCACGAAGCTGGGCAGTAGACAAGACAGCAAAGCTTGCGCAGGGGGCTGCCGCACACCTTTTCTCCCAAGCCGCAGTCTCCGGTAGTGAGGATATGTGAATCGCTTGCGGCACGCCTGCGAACAGGCGGCGTGCCGGCGGGCCAAAAATTTGTGACAGGCACGCCTGCTGCTGAAAAATCAAAAACTCATGATGCGCCTCCTCGCGGTACGCTTCAGCGGCCCTTGCCACCATGCATCTGATGTTTGGTTCCAGCTCTGCGGCTTAAACAGCCGAAACCCTCCAAACGAATCATTCCCGCTAAACGAATCATTGTTTCAAAGGCTCCAGGCATCTTGAGCCAATATGGCTATGCCACCCTCGTTTCCCCGCTGACGCGCACAGGTTTTCCACAGCCTTGCGCGGCGGAGAATGATGGGGCGGCGCTTCGGGTGGCGGAAAGACGCAAGCGGGCAGCCTATCCAGAACTCGCCCGCAAGAAGCTGGTCGTGCGAGGCGCGCTGCGGTTCGTCAGAGATCTGATCCGTTTGCGCGCGTGCCGCGCGCCCCCCACAGTCCGGCAAGCAGCGGCAGCGGGCTGGGCGAGAAGGTGGTGGAGCGTGCTGTCGGTCGCTGTGCAAGCAGCCGTCGGCACCACTGCCCTTGGCCAGGTGCCCTGCATCTCGGCAGGCTCGGACTTCACGCCGCTGCCGCTGGATCGAATCCTGGAGCCGGGCATAAGTGCGGCAACTAGCCGCCTGCCCATGCGGCCGTGAGACCACGAGTCGGTGCCGGAGAAAAGGAGCGCTTGGAAAAAAAAATAGGCTGTACGGTGGCTGAGCGCGAGAGCAATGACGACGCATCAGCTCGCGCGACGCAGGTCACCGCGAACTTGAACATCCTTCAGCTACAGTTTGTACATCTCGACCGTGGCGCCAGGCACCACGCTTGGAGAGACTGGTTTTTCTTTAGAGACTGGTCCGAAAACGACCGTGAGTCACGGTCAGAGTGAAAAGTAGACTATTCAAGCATACATAAACCAACAAATACCAACAAACAAAAACCAACGCAAACAAAAGCTGATAAGTAAGGAGGGAGTTCACGAATGCTTGAAGCATATGTACAAATTAAATTGAAACAAATGCCGCTCAGATGTATGTACAAAGCTCGTACTCAAGCCACCCTTTTCTCATATCACGCACGCTTCGGCATGAATGCGCACATGATAAATGTTGTTCATGATATCACAAGCAGAGTTGGTATTGGCATCAGTACAGAACAAGTTATGCAAAGAGATGGAGCATGATGGAGCTGCGAACTTCGTGCCCATCTCCGACGCAAAGCTGAGAGCGCTGAGCATGTGAGCCGCGCATGATCCAAGGAGTCGGATGCTGACTCACAAAAGCGACACGGGATGGAGGCATGATAAGCTGACGAGTGGCGATGCCGAGCTGCACGGCCGTCACGAAAACAGTGATGGCCGCTCAAAGGAGCGCAAACAAAGCATCCGCGACTTGCTTGACAGTGAGCGTGAATTCCTCGTCCGGCGCCGCCAACGAAGGGAACATCCTCTTGCCATTTCTTGCAGGCGGAAGAATCCAGCTCTCGTTCACACACCAAATTTGCGGAGAATCGTTTTGCTGCTTTTTTCGCATTTGTTCAGCCATGATGTGTGAGCTCATGACGTCCAGTCCAGTAATAACTTTGACAAGCACATGTTACAATGTCACTTGCTGTGTTGACTGTTTGCCTGCGCCCCAGAGGGCTGCCTATCGGCTTGCAGTTCTCGCGCAGTTGATAGTGCACGCGCTCCATGAGGTAGTCTCGCTTTTGTTGCAGCATTGACCGAACCTGCACTGGCATTAAACAACGCACTGCGCGTGCTGAGGGCATGGAAGTTGTTCTTCCGAGGTCGAGCACACAGTCCGGTGCAGCCGCTCAGAGCGGGCCGCACGCAACGTGCGGCGCTTGCGCGCTCCGCGACCTTCAGCGCAGCGCCGTCCACCTCCACGGTGCATGGGTGCGGATTACCCGTTCGTGCAAGAGGGGACACCCGCGTCGCGTCGCTGCACAGCGCTGCTCCGTTGGCGGTGGCCCCGTTCACGACGACGTCACGGTGGCGGCGGTCGTCGGTTGAGACGCCACGCGGAACCAGGCACGCTCGACAACTTATTTTGTCGCGTCTGGCCTCGGGCAAGCGAGTGCGTTTTTGTATTTTTTGTTGTCGTTCTGACCCGGTTTTAGTATGCATGGAGATGTCCTCACAGTCTGCTGGGCGCCGGCGGCAGGTGGCCTGCCAGAAGTTCCCCGAGCCGGACCTCGTGCATGCAAACGACGCCACAAAGCAATTTGCTGGAATTTGCATTGTTTATGGTGGGATGCGGCTTGCCTCGTCGCACGGAATGGCGGTGAGCCATGCTCCAGGCAGCATGCGAAACGTACTCGTGAACGGCGCGGCAAGGAGAGCATCGCGAGAGTGCACAGTACACAAATGCTCTTGCTCGGTGCGAAGCCTTTTTTCAACCCATGAACCAAGACAACTACGCCTTGTTAGGCATCGGGCTTGTCGCCTCGCCACACATCATCGCCCAGTTCTGCAATCCGGCCTGCTGTGCAGCGACGACGCGGGCAAAAGATTGGATGCGATGCCACACCAGTTTTGTATACACCGTGCACCTGCGTCGAGAGCGGCTCAGCATCGTGACCACGTAGCGGTCATCCAGGAAGGCCACGAGGCGGTCGTCGGGATGGACGGCTTCCGCCCGCTGTTGGAGGGCATCGTACTGTACAAGGGAAACGTCGCGGCAACGGGCCTGCACAGTCCCACCAACAATAAGTGGATGGCTCCCATAATAAAACAAGCGCACGAACGGGAGCATCCCCCTCCCTTCCCCCACAGCGCGAAGTTTGCCGAGGAAGGCCGCCCACGACGTGCTGACACCAGAACGGCTTCTCTGCGTGTCGCCGAGGCATGCCGAGGCATGCCGAGGCGTCACGCACGTGGTTTGCAAGGGCATCCGTTCCAGCTCGAGCCTGAAGCGAACTGGAATGCATGGTCGAATTTGTCGGCCCACTCCCGCGAGTGGCAGGTGGCGAGTGGCAGGTGGTTCAAAACCAAGCGACAACGCCCATCACCTCTGGCGATTCCACGCAGGCCCCCGTCTGCTTTGCGCAAGGCTGTGAGGCGAGCTTTGCACACGTCCGCCGGCACTCGAGCCTGCATGACGAGCGTGTGGCCAGCAGCTCGATAGCTAGAGTTCCACGTGTTCCGTTCGCGCGTGAAATCACGTAGTCACACCGTTCGTAAAAACATTCACTTCGATCACCACCAAATAGTATTTTCATCAACGACGAATGAAGGGCCTTGAAAAAACATACTAGATATAGGTCCTTTACTCACTTCTTTCTCACATTTCCTTCAATCGCTGAGTGAATTCATGCATTCGCTCACTGGTTCGCTTCATTATCCGCCGACCCCGCCCCCGGAGGGCATCATGGGACCTCCGCGGCCCTTCCGGACCGGGCCGGATCGGGGCGGGCACGCGAGAGCACCTTCAAAAGCATTCCAAAGCAGGAACCGCACCGATGATTTTGAGCTGTTTTTCGACCTGAAAAAGGGTTGGCGAGCATCATGAGCATCAGCGGCGTCGCTATTTCGGGAAGAGGGGCTCCAAATCCCGCCTCGGCAAGGGCAGCGTTTTTGTGGGATTTTCGTGCCCTGGTGTCGATGCTCATGATGCTGGGGGGGGGGGGAGGGCCCGAGGGCTTACAGGGCGAGGAACGGAGCCAATGAGTTCGTGATGCCTCTGTCGGAGGAGGCTCGCGAGACTTTTTCCGGCTTGTGCAGCTTGTCTGGTGCGCGCGCACCGTTTGGATGGCCTTGCCCGCGCGGCGCGCCCACGCTTGCATGCCTCTGCCTCGGGGCGTTGCCGCCCCTGGGCGCAGCCCCTTGAATGAAGCGCAGCCCTTCAGCAGGCCTCGGACGCACTTCACCCTGATGACACACTTGTTGCCTTCGAAAGCACAGACCGTGGGAGAGAGGGGGCCTCCTGGCTTTCTAGACCTTCTTCTTACCAAGCTCCTGCCTCTTCTCGAGACCCCCTGTCGCGCTCTCTGATTCTCGCTTGTCTTGCGTTTTTTCTTTCGTTCTTTCTTTCTTTTCTTCACCGGGCTTCAGGGCAGGACAGCCCCGCGGACGACTCACGCCGCCGTCCCGAGCGGAGACCGAGCCCTCCGAAACGTTGCGCGAGCTGGGGGGCGCTGAGGGCTGCGTGAGGTGTTGGGTTCAAGATGCGCAAAATGTAATTGGCACGTGGGGTGGCGCAGGATGCCAAAAGTAGCCACCCTGCCTGCCGGACATCCACGCTGGGGATGCATGGGATGCGCTGCAGAAGGCATCGTGGCGCAGGCTGGGCGTCCGCGCTCTGGTCCTGGGCGACGTGTTCCGACGTGTAGTGGCCCGGACGTTCGCGCAGCAATTCGGCGACACGTTTCAAGAGGCATGCGCACCGTTCCATTTTTTTTTTCTTCGCGTCTTTTTCCGCCTTTTGCTACGGCTGCTCTACTTGCAACAACGATCAAAACGCTGGCACAGCAGCTTGCGATCGGTTCTTGTCCGAGAGCGAGGATTCTCGAAGGGACGTCACGACTGGAGCTGACGACGCCACATGACTGACGGGCTGGCGAAGCAGCCAGCGACTGCGACCGTGCCAGCGACGCTGGTCGGGGGGGGGGGGGGGGTGCCAGCTGTGCCCTGACCGCATTACAGTACCCAGCGCGGACCTGGTCGTGCCAGACGCAAAGTACCGCGCCATGCTGCTCCCGACGTGCGACTGCCGCTTCCATTGGGCCCAAGCGTTCCGAGAAATGCCGGGAACTCGATGCATTCGGGGACCACCCCACCGCCTGCGTGCAAGTTGGAGTCCCTCGCGCACTGCGCAGGCCCGCTGCGACCTCAAACATTTTGAACCCGGGCGCACGCTTCGACACGCCGAGGTGCGCACACAGCCGCGGGGGGGGGGGGGGGGGCAAGGGCGATGTCGGCTGGTAGGACTAATCATGGAGGGTGTTTCAGCCCCAGCGCTCGCGCCTGCATCCCGTGCACGTCGATGAGGAATCGTGGAACGCTGCCGCGGCAGGGCAGGGCGCTCACTCGGCGTGGCGTTGCGTGCTCTTGCGCAGACGTTGCTCGAGCTGCAGCCGTGCGATGCGGGGTCGGCCAACGCTTCATAACGCTTCCGCCGCAGGTGGCAGCAGGATGCAGCAGGTACATGTGGGCAGCGCAATTCAGCGCATGCTAGATACTCTATAGGGCTCGAAGGCGTCGTGGGTCATGTCCATCGGGCGGGCCGGGTGATCCGCTTCGCCTATGCGTCTGGGGGTGTGGCGTGAACGTCCCGCCATGGCAGCGGCTGTTGTGCCGCCACTCCGGCAGGGGCGCCAGCCGCTGTGACGTCGAATGTGCTCGAACCTTTTTTGCAGTGGGAAGTTGTTAAAAACAAACCAGGCATGAAATGACGACAGTTACGAGTATGGCGCAGCCCACGCGCTGATCCTCGCAAGTCCTCACAAAACGGACTCCTGGAGCCTCTTTCTACGCATTCGGGAAAGCTACCGCTTACAGACCGGATCTGGTAAAGATCAATGCATGTGGAAGCACAGCGCCCCTTCTCCCTCACCGTGCAACCGCGCGCAATGCTGTCATTGAAAGCCTGCTCCAATACGGAGCCCCATGCCACACCGCGAAATATTGCATTCGTGCCCATGTATGCCTTGCCGCTGAAATGTGAGTGACTTTCTCTGAGTGGCCATGCGAAACGCCACATACACTTTGAATTGCTCCTCGCCCCGATTTAGCTCCATCAACTCAATGTACAGACGACTTCACATCTTCATCTGGGCGATCGCGGCCCCATCGCCCGTACGTCGCATCCATCAGATCATCAGATGCAGGCTCGGAGCGATCCAAGTCGACGCGAAGCAATCGCAGTCCTATGGTTGTTGCTGCGGATTTCGCGCTCCGTTGCGCAGCGAGATACAGCTATAAGTGCGGCACTGCCTTCCGCAACACACCAAGCTCCATGTCGCGCACCCCCCTGAAGGCAAGTTTATTTAAGCCAACCTTTCTTGACTGAAATTCAACCTTTCTACGACGCAAACAATGCCCTTTTTTGCGACGCAAAACAATTAGTTGGGGCAGACGCCCGCTTAGTTTCCTTTTTGGGGGCAACTGCCACGGCAAACTTGATTTTTGTTCCCTCTTTGCATAAAACTTGCTTGCTTTTCAAGGGCTGTTGTTGGCAGCCCCCTTTCTCGAAGTTCTTTACAGTTCTCCAGGACTGCCTCTCTGTTATTGTTGGTTTGACCAACAACCGACGGGTCTGCTCTCCACAAGCTTTGTTCCTGAGGGTTATGTTGCAGTATAGCTGGTATACTGTTGCCTTTTTCGGGATCTGGCCAGCTGCCGGCAGAGTCCATCTTTCCCACCAGCGCCAGCTTTGTTCAGCCAGTAGCTGGGTCGGAGATGCGCCATCTCTTGTCATCCCTCAGCTTTGGTTTGCCACTACCACTCCTGGCGGTTCCCCATTCATTCATGCGCTGTTGCGTCACGCATCGTGGATAGTCCGCGCCCGTGAATAGCCGTCAGCGCCTCCAAGCATCTAGACGATGCGTTCTTGTGTTTCCAAGGCTGCGGCGCCACCTTTCAGGTAAGCGGCCGCAGACGTCACACCGACTCACACAACTTTGTTGCACCGGCTTTCTGGAGGTTGTTTCCGCGGCGGGGCGCCCGTTTGCTTTTGTTGCAATTGCTGAGGTTGCTGGTGGAACAGCGTCACTGGGAGCAGCAGACGCAACCTGGCTGCGCTCGTGCCTGCGCTCGTGGTTTTGTTGTGCCTCAGGGTTTTGGGACTACCTTTGCATCTGCTCATATCAGTGATCCTGCTTTCGTTTTTGGGGTGTTGGCTTGTTCAGCATTTGTCTTTTTGAGTCCAGCCCTGACATGCAAGCGCATCTGCTGCTGAGGGGTGAGAGGATGAGGCTTGAGAATGGGGGGCTCAAAAACCGTAAGGCTGGGCGTCTACTGAGGCTCAACGCCTCCTGAGCCGCTTTCCAGAAGCCGTCGGAAGTCTGAGGAAGGGCGCAGACGATTTCTTGAGGAATCCCGTACCGCTGTCAAGTAACGTTTGTAAACTTGTGACGATCCCGTTTATAGTTTATACAAACTTGACGATGGGGGGGGGGGGGGGGGGGGTGCAAAATTCCTCCCAACCACCCCCCCCCCCAGGCAACACTTGTGGTTGGTGAATTGTCGCTAGTCAAGTAACGTTTGTAACTTGACGATGGGGGGGGGGTGGGGGGGGGGGGGGGGGGGCACGATTTCCGCACCCCCCCCATAGTCAAGTTTCGTTTTTCGGCTCCCAGGGATTCCACGTGCCTTTCTGCGAGCGGTACAAAGCCATGGCGGACTTGTCCACAGAAGCCCAAAAGTGGAAGAGAAGGAAGAGAGACAGAGACGAAAGTGAAGGGCAGGTTGTTGTTGTTGTTGCTCTTTTGGCGACTGCTAGGTAGGCGTGTAGAGAACTTTCGACCGTGCTGAGAGTGCTTTGAAAAAGTTGTTTGCAAAAGCACCGGTGGAGGGACACCGACCCAGTCATTCGACTCGCCTATCCTTGGTTGGCAGATGTTGGCAGGTTAGAAGCGCGCAAGAACGCATCTTCTAGATGCTGGAAAACACAAGTTCTGCTATTTCAAGAGGAGGGGGCAGGCGCAGCAAGTGTCACGGGCGCCACGATGCACGCGGGCGCTACAGCAGCCAGAGAGTAACAGTGGCAAAGCCGAAGCTTACGCTGGAGGGATGCCAATTGGCATGACTCCGACGATCTCAGCTAACTTCTGTCGTGAACAAGGCTGGCGCTAGTGCATGGGAAGATGGACAAAGCAGGGCCGACTCTGCGGGCTTCTGGCACCAGGGGTTTCTGGTTTGGCTGCGCAATAGTACCCCACTAATGGGAACAAACCCAATTCTGTGGGGGGAACAAAGCAGACGCAGCGGTGGTTCTTGCTGTTAAGCCATTGAAAAGTTGCCCCCCAGGCTGTGACAGAATGGAAGCACTGGAGAGAACCCTGCGCGCGAGCAAGGAATTGGGAGGGGGGGCGGGCTAGCCACTGCAGCAAGCAAGTCTGAAGTGTGGACTCACCAAACCGCCTTTAGAGTACAGAAAAAGGCCGTTTTTCCAGGTCCTCCATTTAGAAGGCTGGTTTGAAAAACCGGGCTTCCTGGGACCGGGCCACGGCGTAGTGCCACGCCTGTTCGCTGACGCCATGCCACGCATCGTTGCCCAAACGACAGCAGTGCAAGCTTCCATCATCAGTCCGCAACGGCCGAACGCCTGCAACCCGTTCGAAAATGCAGCCTCCACGCGGCGCCAAACACCCGAAGGCGCAGCATGACGTGATCATGGTGCTTTCGTAGTTCTAGTGGGCCTGATTTGCGTCACGCACCACACGTTGGAAGGCGTATCGAACATCTCCGCTCGTCTTGTGCTGATGCTGATAAGAATTTCGCACCTTTCCCGTGCCCTGCAACAAGGAGCGGTTGGGAAAGTTATGCATGGGCATGAAGCTTGTGCGCCGTTTTTTAATTTACCTCCAAGATTTCTGCAGGCAGTGTTCAGTTGCGGCAGGCTGTGGCTGCAGCAAGAAGTGCTCGAGCAAGAGCAACACATGGCGCACAACAAGCTCACCGAGCCGCGCAAGCGTCACGGTGCAACGCGCTTGGGGTAGGCCATTTCTAGTCCACTGCGCTGCTCCAGGGCACTGTGCTGCTTCGGTCATGTCACATGACCGCGGTGCACAACTTTTATGGCGAGCCCACACGTTTGAAAGCACTCGAAGCACAAAGCGCCTGAAGCAGCTGGATTTCTCCTCAGATAGCTGCGCAGCCACACAGCTCGTAGATCTCGTAGCACGTTCCGAGGAAGTGCTGAACGGGCTAAGTACAGATGGATCGCACTTCAGCACCTCCAGCGATAAAGCAGGACCTCATGTGCTCTTTGCTTTTCTCCTTGTATGCTCTCATCAAGCACGCTCTGGGCAGCATCCGAAGTAGCAATCGAGCAGCCAAGGCTAAGGGAATCTTTACAAGAAAAGTGATCATGGTGGCAGTGGTTTCCTCGTAATGTGAAGGTTCTTCTCCATGAGGGTCCCCTTACGGATACACGTTCGGTGCTCAAAGGGGCCTCGCTTTATTTAGTCTTTCAGACTAAATTATGGGAAGAAGCACTACTCACGTCTTCAAGTTAACGCTAAGCACGCCGGCATGAGACGTGCTAGGTTTCAGGGTTCAAGGCTTCCTTCGCCTCTTTTGACTTGTGAAGCTCGTCTCGTGCCGACGTGTTTCACAGATCAGCGATGTCGCGAGCCTGGGCCAAGCTCTTGGGTAGTTGGATTTTTCGCAATTCACAACAGCTCATGTCGGATCCAGCGGACCACCTTCTTGGATTTTTCGCACCACCAT